AAGAAAGAAAGAAAGAAAGAAAGAAAGAAAGAAAGAAAGAAAGAAAGAAAGAAAGAAAGAAAGAAAGAAAGAAAGAAAGAAAGAAAGAAAGAAAGAAGGAAAGAAAGAAGGAAAGAAAGAAGGAAAGAAAGAAGGAAAGAAAGAAGGAAAGAAAGAAGGAAAGAAAGAAGGAAAGAAAGAATAGATGCATATGCTAGAGACTGTATCAGATGCCTGTGGAACGCTTCAGGATGAAGAGCAGTAAGGCCATCTCAGGACAAGGACTGCGTTTCCACCCTCTGCACCCTCAGAATGATAAGCAGTACCAGAAGACTTCCATCTCCCAGCCAGTGAGATGGCCCAGCTGGTAGAAGCACCTGCTGCCAAGCCTGATGACCTGAGTTCGATCCCCAGGACCCTCTGGGTGGAGGGCGAGAACCTGATCCTGCAAACTGTCCTCTGACTTCCACACTGTGGCACAAGCACCCCACACACATACACACCATGTATACAGACACACACACACACACACACACACACACACACACACACACACACACTATAACTAAGTATGAAAAATGTAAAGAGTGTCATCTGTGACCACAGTGATCAGTCTCTCCTGATTGCTTCAGCTCCCTGCTGCCTAGCCACACTGCCCAGCAAGGCTCCTGTGTGCTGGGAAACGACACAGTCAGCCGCATTCCACTCCATTCCCATTCAGTCTCCAAAGAGAAGCTCATCATGGGTGGACTTGACTTTCTTTGTGTGCGCGTACATGTTTATGTATACGCGTGTGTGTGTGGAGACCAGACGTCAATACCGGATGTCTTCCTCAATCTTTCTCTGCCTTACTTTTTGAGACAGGCTTCTTACTGTACCTGGAACTCACCAACTCTGTTAGACAGATGCAACGGGCAGAGGAAGCCAGGAGTGAGCAGAGTCCTGAGTAAATGTGTATTTTGGCATAAGCGAGGCCTGTTAAGGACTCTGAGACCAATTGGTCCAGGGTAAACTGGCAAAGCCATTACCCATATGGGCCAGGCTCAAGAGGCATGGCAAAGCTTGGGGATGAGTGATTATGGATCAGTGTGTTCAAAGATTAGCAACTGCAGTTTCCTCCTCCCAGAAGCTTACAGCCTGGGATTGCTCGCCTACGGAGACCGACCAAGACCAGCCGACCCCCCACCCCGTCCTGTTCCCAGCTCGGTTGTCTGTGTGTCTGTCCTTCCTTCATTCCCTTGACATCCCTAGCCAGGGTTCTGGGACCCAAGTTGTGTGGGATGAGGCAGGCGGGCCAGACAGTGAGCCCCAGGGAAGCTGTCTCCACCTCCCCAGTGGGATTCACACAGGTTCACAATACATATTCTCCTCACACTTGCGAGGCATGCACTAGACAGTCACCTCCTCTGCCCTGGACCTTGAGGCTAAACATGATGGTTATAACTCCTGGTGAGTGTATTCACACTATTCACTGACAAACTGGGGCGCTGGTGACAGGGTCCAGGACACAGCCAGCCTGGCCTCTGCTAGCACCAGCTTCCAAGTACTGCTGGACTGGGGAAGAGCTACTTCAGTGCTGTTCTTGGTTGATTTTTTTTTTTTAAGTTGTGCATAAATACAGATATGTAACCCAGGCTAGCCTAAAAGTCACTATATAGTCTAGGCTGGCCTAAACCTTGCTAGATAGCCCAAGTTAGCTTTGAAATCATGATTCTCCTGGCTCTGCATCCTGAGCTACATCCTGGGTGCTGGGATTACAGGTGTGCACCACTAGGCCCAGCCTAATTTTGTACTTTTCAAAGATTATTTTTAACATCATGGTCAGATGCTTTTCATTGTCAAAATACAAATGGAACAAAGCAACTCTATTTCTCATACCTTGCTTTAGAAATATTATAAAGTCCTTCACAGTTTGGTCCAAATTAACTCCATGATATACCACAGGCTTGAAATTTCGATGCTCAAATGAACGGATGAGGCGAACTGTGATGGTTGCTTCCTCGGCAGCCATGTGTAGACACACCTGTGGGAAGACACGTGGGTAAAGTGGATAAAGGCATTGCCGTGAGAGAGTGAGCGAGCAGATTTCAGATCCACACAGAAGCTGGGCCCATATGGGAGCCTGCTGCAATCCCAGCACGGGAGTCAGAGACAAGAGACACCCGGAGCAATCTGGCTGGCAAGACCAGACAAAACTGGTAGCTCTGCCTCAATAAATGGAGACTGACCGAGGAAGACATCCATTGCCAACCTCAGGCCTCCTCCACACGCACACATGTGCACCAAACATACATGCACACTACACATACATACGCACATTAAAATAAATAAAAGTTATTTCTTAGTCAGTGGCAGGGGCCTTAATAATTGGCAACATTCTATACATCTTAAGTAAGATATTAAATATAGGGACAGTGCGCTATTTTTATGCCTTTCAATTGGTCTGAAATAGTCCATAACACACAAATAAGCCACATAAACTTGGCTCAGAAAGTCTCTCTGAAAAACTGAGTGCCTGTCCAACTGTTTTACTAAGTTTGGAGAAAGATACAGCACATTAAGCATGGAGAGCTAAGGAGTTTACTATTTGAATGCACCAAATAATTTTTAATTAAAATTAGCATATTAGCTATAATGAAACGGCTTCTATAAAACCTGAAATAGATTTTCGCCATAAAATAAAGTAAGGGTTCATCTAATCTTGTCTCATGGCTAATAAGCCTAATAAATCTCTTGATAATTCCAATATTGGTTATTACAGCATTCCTTATTATTTCCTTCATATTCTCCTCAGAAAAACACGGTCCTAAAAGCTACCAAACAACAGTTCAACACACATCCACAAAACAAAAATGTTTAACATACTGAGGCACTTAATGATTATTGGCACAATCCATGGTGTCAGGGACCTTGTGATCAAATATTCTGAATCTCTTCTGCATGCTGGGGCACAGACTCAGAGCCTGGCATGTCCTGGGTCTGTGCTCTTCCACTGAGCGGCTCCCCACCCAGCCCTGAATGGCCTGTTGTGTTCACGTACATGTGAGTGCATGGGTGCATGTATGTTGTATGTATGGGTGGAGGTCAGAAGACAATGTCACATGGGGTGCTGGGGTGGTTTGAACAGGAACGGCCCCACAGGCTCACATATTTGAATGCTCGGTCATTAGGAAGCAGCACTGTTAGGTGGTGTGGCCTTGCTGGAGGAAATGTGTCACCAGGGGTGGGCTCTGAGGTTCCAAACGCTCAAGAGAGGCCCAGTGTCTCTCTTCCCGCTGCCTGAGGAACCAAATGTGGAACTCTCAGCTGCTTCTCCAGCACCGTGTCTGCCGGTGTGCCGTGCCGCCACGCTCCCCACAGTGGTGACAATGGACCAAACCTCTGGACTGTACGCCAGCCCCAGGTAAATGCTTCCCTTTAGGAGAGTTGCCGTGGTCATGGTGTCTCCTCACAGAAGAGGATCCTGACTAAGAGATGCCTTCTACTTTTTGTTTGAGGCACCGATTCTCATTAGCCTGAAATCTTACCAGACTGGCCAACATTAGCCAGCCAATGAGCTTCTAGGGACCCACCTGTCCCTGAACACAGCACCACTCCCAGAATTTTAATGTGAGTTTGGGTCCTGGGGATCCAAACTCATGTCCTAATGTTTGCAAGGCAAGTGTTTTACTGACTGAGCCGTCTCTCCAGCCCAGGTTTTCATCCTTACTACATTCATTTGTTTATTAATTTACTTACTTGCTTGCTTATCGTGTGTGTGCATTTGGTTACACGGTGCCGTGGCACCCAGGTGGAGGTCAGAGGACAACTGGTAGGACTCAGTCCTCCCTGTCCACCATGTGGATCGAACTCAGGTTTTGCAGCAAACATCTCTACCCCTAAGCCATCCCTCCAGCCCATGCTCTGGTTCTTGACTACGACGTTATTCATCTTTATGTACATGTGATAAAATCCCATAAAATAAATGCATGCACACACAGACATGCCTAGACATACACATACAAGTGCATGTAAAACTAGTGAAATCTGAACAGAAACCATGGTTGTGCCAACAGCAGTTGTCTGGCCATGAAAACAGACTACAGTCAAGCCAGGTACCACCACCAGGGGGACCCTGGCAGAGAGGTACAGGAACTCTTTTCTGCATTATTTATAACAATTTCATGTAAAACTATCTCAAAATAAAAGTTTCTAAAAATTATCATTCAGTATGGTAGTTTGAAAGAAAATGGTCCCCAAAGGGAGTGGCCTTGAGGTAGTTGTGGCCTTGTTGGAGGAAGTATGTCACTGTGAGGGTGGGCTTTGAGGTCTCTTTTGTTCAAGCTTCCCTCAGTGTGAGACTGAGACTATTTCCTGTTCCTGCAGGTCAAGATGTAAGACACCTGGCTACTACTGCAGCACATGTCTGCCTGTACATCACCATGTCCCGCCATGATGATGATGGACTGAACCTCTGAACTGTAAGCCAGCTCATTAAATGTTTTTCCTTTACAAGAGTTGGTGTGGTCATGGTGTCTCTTCACAACAATAGAAACCTTAACTAAGACATTCTGACAAGCCTGCTGAAATCATGAGTGGAGGGAATATACTGAATAACAGAGTACTAAACCATCAGGTAAGAGACTGGCAGAGAGCTTAGAATGGAGACACCAATGCAGCCAGCCATGGCTGACAGCATCCAAACGCACCAGCCAATCTTAATGAAGGCATCGGGCCCAGAGCTTCCAGTGTATCTGCTCTGGCAGAAAGGGTGTGAGGCCAAGTGTAGCAGGAATCTTAACAGTTCTTATTAATAAAATCAAACCTGAGGCCAGTTATTGGGGTGAACACTGGAAGATCAGAGAGACAGAACAAGCCACAGCTAACCTCACCTGGCCAACTTCTCAGCTGATCTTATTTCCTCAGACTGGAAGCCTCTGTGTCCTCATATCCAAATGGCTCTCAGCTGAACTGTGCTGCTCAAAACCTAAAAGCTTAACCAGCCAAATGCTTCTAGTTTCTGGTCCTCACACCTTATATACCTTTCTGCTTTCTGCCTCACTCCCTGGGATTAAAGGCTCACTTTCTGGGATTAAAGGCGTGAGTCACCATGCCTGTCTGTATCCTTGAACACATGGATTTCTGCCTCTGGAATGCTAGGATTAAAGACGTGTGCTACCACTGCCTATCCTAAGTATCTAGTGGCTTTTCTGTTCTCTGACCCCAGATAAGTTTATTAGCGTGCTCAATATTTTGGGGGACACAATGCCACCACAGCCAAGTTCAGTGACACCAGAGGTACCAGCCAAGGTCAGAGGCTAAGGAAGTCTCCTGGAGGCATGGCCTGGCTTCTCAGTGGGTAAAATGCTTACTGTCCAAGAGTGAGGAGTGAGGTCAGCTCCTCAGGACACATAGAAAGCCAGACTTGTTCCAGTGCTTCTGTCAAAAGATAGGAAGTGGAGACAGGAGACTTCCAGAAGCTTCCAGGCCAGCTAGCCTGCCATGCAGAGAGGGGGATAACGAGGTGGAAGGGGCTAGAGAAAGAGATGGCTCAGCAGTTAGGAGCACTCACTGCTCTTACAGAGGGACTGAGTTCGATTCCCGGCACCCATGTCAGGCAGCTCACAACCGCCTGTAATTCCAGCTCCAGGGATCCAGCGCCCTCTTCTGGCCTCTGTGGGCACCTGCATCTGTGTACCCCAGTGGTTCTCAACCTTCCTAATGCTGTGACCCTTTAACACAGTTCCTCACGTTGTGGTGACCCTCAGCTATAGAATTATTTTTGTTGCTACCTCATAACTATAATTTTGCTACTGTCATGAATCATAACGTGAATATCTGTTTTCTCATGGTCTTAGGCAACCCCTGGGAAAGGGTCATTCAACCCCAAAGTGGTCGTAACCCACAGGTTGAGAACTGCTGATGTACACAAACCTACACTGACCCAGATCCAGGCACATAAATTAGAAACAGTAAATAATAAGGGCTGGAGAGACGGCTCAGCAGTTACGAGCGCTTTTGACACTTCCAAAAGACCAGAGTTCCGCTCTTAAGTTCCACAGCAGATGGCTCACACACATCTGTAACTCCTGCTTCACGGGACCCAGTACCCTCTTCTGTCCTGCTTGAGCACCTGTACACATGTGGAATACACAGACACAGACACAGAAGTAAATCTTTAAAAATAAATAAAAAATAAAATAATAAACAAAATGTGGAAGGGGAGGACCAACCCTCAAGGTTGTCCTCCGGCCTCCACATCCACACCATGGCATATATGCAACTTCTCCCACATACATGAGCACACACATACACGAGCACCAAGAGTGACGGCCCGTATCTAGACTAGATGGTTCCGACATGGGTTGTGTCCCTTGGTGCTGTGTATGTCAGAAACTTGGCCCCCAGTGTAGTGGTATGGGGGGGGGCAGGACCTTCAAAAGATGGGAACCTCCTCTGGAGATGGGGCTCAGCGGCAGAGCACATGCTCAGCATGAACGGGGCGCCTGGGCTCCATTCCCAGCATCACGTGGTTATACTCCAGCTACATAGTGAACCACAGCAAATAAATCCAAACAGCATGCAGCGGTTGGGACACCAGAATCAAGTCACATGCCTGGAAGGAGTCTGAGCTTGTCTCAGCCCAGCCTGGGAGTCCTCACTATCCTAACCCACGCTCCTCCCACACTCAGCCCCGCCTGGGAGACCTCACTATCCTAACCCACGCTCCTCCCACACTCAGCCC